AATTTTCTTACTGAATATGAACGAGAAATTGTGGTCAATGGTCAATACTGAACACTATCTCGATAAATATAAAACCTTGTTTCCTTTTATCAAGTTGTTAGTGTAATTTAAAAAAATATATTTATCTTTAATGAATGAATAATCGGGTGATATGTCGACATGATAAATATCGATGTCGGCGGACATCCACGTGCATTCTCGGGTATATTGGCGGATATTTGTAGATTGGCGTAAATTGTCTACGAGTGTTCGCTTTCTGCCTAATAGTGAAACACAGTTCAAAAATAGCAACATCAGTAGAAGCCAAGCAAATATCTTTTAATAACTATCATTCTTTGCTGACCTTCGCTATAGTGCGAACATTATATACCGTCATAATTATCCATATCGTCATAATTAGCAGACGAGCGATGCAATTAAAGCAGAACGAAAACAAAAAGTGAGATAAATATGCGTCACTCGTTTGTAATCTTAAATGCACGCTTTTTATTTATGTTTAAATAACTGAAATCTTTGATGTTGCAAGCCACTCATGAAGAATATTGACTTGCGAGTCCTTAAATAATCGTAATAATAATCCTTACTTTTTGTCGGATTGAAACAAATTGTTTTTATAAAGAATTAAATAGTCACGTTATTTATTTAATTATAATTTAATTTAAATAAGAAGTTTCTTGCATTTTTATTAAATTACATAAAATTATTGATTGAGCTTCTTCCTTCCTTGACTGCTATTTATTTTTAAATTGCTTTTAATATAAAAAAATAAATAATTTTCTAAATTTAATTTAACTTAAATAAAAAATTTCTCACCTTTCTATTAAATTGAGTAGAATTATCGATTAATTTTTTTAATCTTTTTAATTGCTATTTCTCTTTATCTGCTAGTTCTTTTTTTCTTCGCAAAGAAGATTTTTTAGAATTGCTTAACGATTTTTTTATGAATTAACGTCTCGGATAAATGTGCTATTAAATATTATAAAATATCATTATTATATAAGTTGATTATACGAATCGTCTGGAATGTGCTGAAGATTAATAAAAATATTTCGCCGTTAGCAAAACAGCTAATCAATTGATTGTTTATCATTTCTGCAGCGAAAGCAGCATGTTTGTATCCAAACGCAGACTTATATTGAAGACCTGCGGTACCACCACACCTCTACAGTGCTTGGAGCCACTTCTGGAGTTGGTTGAGGAATACACTGGTTTCGACGATGTCGAGGTAGATTACCACAAGAATATTACGATAACATGGGCAGATAAAAGATTTATGACACAATTTAACGTCACGTCGATATTCTAAGGAGAATTTAAACAACAGGAATAAAAATTATTAAATAATATTAAATAAAACAGATTTTATTTCTCTTCTATAATTAATTAGATTTTTTTTTTTCTCGAAAATATCAGATCTAAATATTTCAAAAGAATAGAGACGCGTAGTTACGTAAACTAAGGCACTGTATTATTGTTGGCATAAAATAATTGTATCGTGCTTAAGCAGGATTTTTAAAAGCAGATTTGTAAGGTTCTTCTTTAATAGAAGAAATATATTAAAATGAACAC